GGGGGGGGGGGGGGGGGGGGGGGGGGGGGGGGGGGGGGGGGGGGGGGGGGGGGGGGTCATGCAGTGACGAACACACATTGTGGCCGCTGTGATGGAAATGATACATATTTACGATAGTTCCATACGTGGGAAATACGACGCCGAAGAAACCAAGTGTCGCCACTCATTTTGAGTACTTCGTCCGGAAAAGCCCTGCTATAAGCTGTTTCGTTGCGTGGCGAAAAAAACATCTCAAAATATCCCACAACTGCCACCCTAACCCGGCCAAACGTTCTCCTACAACTCAATTGATTCAATATCCCGTGAGGTCTTCAAGGACGCCCATCCATTTCTGAAGGTAAACGTGAGCACGACGACAGAGACAAGAAGCTGTACCTGGTAGTGCGGCGGAACGTGAACCAATGCCCCATCCTGGGCGTACCCGCGCAGGAGCTTGATGATCAGCTCCCGGAGTCGTTGCGGGCACTGGACAGCCCACAGAATGGTCACTAGAAACCAACTGCTCTGATAGCAGTTCCCGCAGTTGTCGATGGTGATGATCACCGATTTGTCGCTCCACGCCTGGACGCCCTCGATCAGTGGCTTGGTGTGGGTGGCCATCTTTTCGTAGCCGGCCAGTCGGTGTTGCTGATTTTTCCGACGTCGAGTTGAACAGAAACGTAAGAGCGAAATGAAACGAGTACCCCAGCGGGAGAGACAAAAGCAAAAGTAGGCAGCAGGCGTTGGGGTTGGAAGTCATTAATTCGGCGGTTGAGGTCAGCGGAAAGACCTTTCGGTCACTTCTGTGTTTGCAACGTGGGCCACGTCTTGCATCCGACGTTTCATATATTTCTGGATCCTTGACACCCATGGAAAACCCCATGCATGCTTCAGCTAAACCAGAACTAAAATACGTCAATACATGACTCTGGCCCTACCCACCTGGACTTTGCTCGAAGTCGCAGAAGTCTCGTTTACATCCGCATTGAACGTCGGCGCTTCCCTCTGACCTGCCGCTTCCGCTGTCCTCCTGCTGTGAACAACGGGGGAATCACGGAAGGAACTGAACGAGGGCATAGTGACGATGGGGTGCCTACCTAGCGCGGAGAAAACGAGTACCTGGTATACCGGATTGGCCTTGAGAGTGCATGGACGGGGCGAACAACACGAGGCAGACGTGGAGCAACGAAAGCTTCTCAAGACGCTGATAGCGGTAGTAGGTGAGCGACATGGTACCGGGGTGATGAAGCGAACGAGTGGTCACCGATACCCAGCGTAATCCCATCGATGTTTAGCTCCTACAGTAGTTCGATGTAGTGTCGTCGAGACGAGGTGCCGGGAGAAGATTGAGACGCACATCGTGTCCAGCTCGGCTCGGAGGTTTCCCTGGCGAAGCGCTGCTGCCTCCACATCTTGCTCCAGACTCTCGAATTTGGTGCCGGCAATCGCCGCCCTCTCCTCTTCGGCTCTATCAGGACAAACAAAGGATGGGGGGGTTGGGGCCGCTGACGTGTGAGTTGGACTGTGGGTGCTAGCAGACAAGCCCAGGGACCGAAAAATAGGACGCAGATCCGATTCGAATAGATTTGGAGGGATGAATTGAAACCTGTATGCGGGTAATGAGCAACGCAAGGGATTGATCTCGGCTTCGCATTCGTAAATTTTAGAAGATCACTATCGAAAGAATCGTGGAAATTAGTTCTCTTGAGACGACGATGCCGACACAAACGAGGAACGTCGGCGAAAATACACCTTGACCGAGTGCTGGTGTCTACGCGTGAGCGCTGATAATTCGTAAACGACGGTGATCGGGACATGAACACGCCCACCTGCGCATGTCTTCAACCTGATGCTCGGCGACCGTAGCCCGTTGCGTCCACACGGCCTTCTCGTTGTCGCTGGTAGCCAGCTCCTCGCGCACTGCAGCCAGCCTGGCCTGGTCCTGCTCGCTCAGGCAGACAGCAGCTAGCTGCTGTTCTTCCTGCAGCTGCGTTGCCGCCATCGCCGCCGCCTCTCGCTCCCTGTTGTTGCGGTGGAGAACGAAGGCGATGTAAGGGCAATCGAGGGGGGCTGTGGCACAGGAGCAAGGAATCTCGACCGAGTTCTGGTTTCTACGCGTGACGCTAAAAATTCGTAAACGACGGTGATCGGGACATGAACACACCCACCTTCGCATCTCGTCAACCCGACGCTCGGCGACCGTAGCCCGTTGCGTCCATACGGCCTTCTCGTTGTCACTGGTAGCCAGCTCCTCGCGCACTGCAGCTAGCCTGGCCTGGTTCTCCTCGCTCAGGCGGACGGCAGCCAGCTGCTGTTCTTCCTGCAGCTGCGTTGCCGCCATCGCCGCCGCCTGTCGTTCCCTATTGTTGCGGTGGAGCGCAACGAGGGCAGAGAATGAGAGGTTACGGCACAGGAGCAAAGAGTCTCGACCGAGTGCTGTTGTCCATGCATGGCACTTTGCATGTGAACGACGAGTTGAGGCACTACTATAGTACACGCACCTGCGCATTTCCTCGAAAGTGCGCTCTGCGGCTGCAGCTTGTTCCACCAACACCTCATTGTCCCTGTTTCTGGTGGCGAGCAGCTCGTGCGCTTGATCCAGGTTCTCCTGATGCTGCTGGCGCTCGGAAGCCAGTTCTGCCTGTCGCCTCCGCTGCATTGCCGCGACCTGGTTCCTGCGTTGTTTGGGTCGAGCACGAAGATATCACAACAAGGGAAAATAGGAGAGGTTGGGGCACAGGGGCGAGAGTCGCTGAACATTGTGTGGCCTCAAATCAAGTGCATGATGAACTCTATGTCAAGTATTGGTGGATCGCCTTGCTTGCCGTGGTTTCACCGTTGCCTCAGTAACAAAGGATGGCCATCGGTGCTCCTCATCTATCGTCCGCAATTATTCCGAGTCTACATGTGTGTTCTTCGTCAAGATCAGCTCGAGCAAAATCGAGGACGTCGTGCGCCTCCATCTCCCACCAGTACGGATTTTATGTGGTACTGAGCAGAGGGAGATTGGAACGCTTTTTCTCAAAAAGACAACAAGAACAATAGCAACAACAATAACAACAACAACAACAACAACAACAACTGTAACAATACCAACAACAACAACCACCACAGAAATAACAACAACCATATGCTACGCGCACCATGACCTCTGTCACGATGCATTACCGCCGTCGTGAGGTGACAAATTACCCAACATTCAGACGCTGCGACGCGCACACCTGTGCGCCTCCCGCTGAGCTTCCACGGCCCCTTCGAAGACGATACGCTGTCGCTGCTCTTCATCGAGTTGGCCCAAAACCTCTTGGTGGACACCCTCAAGCAACTGAAGCTCCTGCTTGAGAAAGACAAAAGTTCGAGCAATGCTCAAGAGATGTCCCGACTTCGGAGCGTCTCGTGCAAGAAAAGTGTTAATGTTTTTTCGATCTGTCGGAACTACATAGTTGTCTTGGCAGCATATCTTGGGGCGTGACTTCAAAAGCGAAATACGGGTAGTACTGTAGTTGCCCCACGGTGAAAGCGAAACCAGCGGTATCTACAATCCGCACCATCGCGGACAATAGCTAAAACCAATATAATAACAACACAGCGAGCCGCATGATAAACACATCCACTCGCTGTGTTCAACCTGTCAACACTCAACACTCAACCCAAACTAGAGACGAACCACGGTCCAACCTTACAGACCATTGGTAGCTTGTTTATGAGGGGGACCCGGAAGCGTATGTTTATCCTCGGGGGTATGTACCCTCAGAGGCCCTTCACCACCCTTACCTGGGCATGGTCCCTCTGTTGGTCACGTGAGTGTTGGCTGGCCAGCGCCAGTTCATTCTGGTGACGTTTGTTCAACCCGAGGGTAAGGACGGAATGGCGGGAGGGGATGAGGGGTTAACTTTGGATACCTAACGGTCACAACTGGATCTTGCGCGAAAGGTTGTAGCTCCAGCAGACACACAACTACCTTACCCGCACCAACGCTCTCCAAGACCAGGTCTTTTGCAAAAAAGTCGACACACCACCTCAGCTCTTTCTCAGGGCGGGAGACGTTCGTGACACGCACATACCTCTGCGAGCTCGCGCTGGTCCCGAAGCGCCGATACCTCCCCATCAAGACGATCGTTCAACGACCGCAGTGTCGAATTCTCTTCCTCCAATGTGATCACGCGCTCGTTCTAGAAACGCATTACAGCAGGACGGTGCACACATGGATGAGAAACGAACGTGCGAGGAAGTGGAAAACTGTCAACAGCGCCCATCATGAACATCGGAAATCGACTTCGCTGGAGCAACGAAAAATTACCAGATTCCGCACTCGTTGATAAACGTCACCGTCTGGTCTTGCCGTACCTCCTCTGCAGCCTCTTGCGCGGCGGCGGCGGCGGCGGCATCTTCTTCGTCTTCCGCATCCTCATCAGCGTCGTTCTCGTCACAAACTCGGTCTTCAAGGAACCGGCCACCGCGTCTCCACCTTGTGCAAGCAACGGGTATCTAAAGCATCATCCAAATTATTGAGGGACTGTCATGATCATGGCGTACACATTGGTCGCACATCAAAAGTGATGCACGCTCCAAGAAGGAAAAATGAAAATGGCCCTCTTATCCATCTAGGCTAGACAATAGAATGACGTCATTGATTGGTTCAAGGAAAATCCAAAGCTGTTATCGTTCGGTTGCGAAAAACTCAGTCTAGTCTTTGTTTCAAATACAAATTCTTCGGTTACAAAACGTCTTGTTCAAGTTCGACACCATGATATTTGATCAACACACTACACGTATTCATCAGGGAACTGTAGTACTGAAATAATTGGCCAAACTAGAGAGATTACTTATGGACGTACCGCTTCACCAAGACCATGACGACCACGGCGAAGATGAACATCACGGCTTCTTCGGCTCCGAGCATCTTCGAGGGAAGGAAAGACGACGAGCAATCCTCCTCGAGCATCAAGCAGACAACGTCCTGATGGCGTTGGGCTTTGGTGCTGCGGGCGTGATATGTTCAAGCGTGATGGCGGAGAGAGAAGACGCGTCGTTTGCCACGATTTAGTAAAGCAACAACGGCTCGCATAAATACTGCATTGAACTGCCCAAGCATCGACCTCCTCAAGACGCAATTGCCATGACGAGCTTTTTCAAGTCAATATTGCCATGCGGAGCTTTTCGGTACCGAATGGACATGCAGCTCGCTGTTCTGTCTAGCTATAGTCTGTCTAGCATGTCAATGACGGCACTCACATCTCAACAAGCGTTCGCAAGATGCTGGCGCCGGCAGTCTTGTACCATCCCAGGGTACGACCGAATACACCCATGCTGTCAACAACAGTAGCGGTTTGGCTGCAGTTGCTGAAGTAGAGGTGTGTAATGGTTGTGTGTACGTGGAGGTGATGTGGACTCGCAAATAAGCCCTTTGATTGATGATGGCTTTTTTATTTTTATTTTTTGTTCTTTTGGAGCAAAGTTTGTTGTCGGAGGCGGAATCAAGTGACGTTTCGTTGTAACAGAAAGAGTTCGCAACGCAAGACTATTAGTCTAGTCTAATCAGCAATGGAAAACCAGAGAAGTAGAACAGATTTCGCGTGCCCCACAACACTTCTTCTCTGGACGCCAGCGGAGAGAGCGCACGTGGTGCTGTATGCTGCATGGGGTCGTCGCGCTTGCGAGCGTGAAAGAGGACCACGGGTACGTGACTAGTCTAGAGGTAGGTAGTCTAGACATAAAGTAATGTGTACAGCAGTCAGCATACAGCATCTGTTGTATATGTCCGCGACTTGGAAGGGAGAGACTGAATATCGCTTGTATTAGAAACGCAGAAGCAAGAGAAGAGAAGAAGAAGAGTGCTTCCGGAAAACAGAGAAGCAGGGGTCACAAACACAAGAACCCCAAAATGGTATGTCTACGTTCCTATCTGCGAATAGTCTATATCCGTTACTGCGGTCGATCAACACCTGTCCGTATCCAAACACACGTATTGGTCAGCCGGTTAGCGCGGTCGATGCTAATAATAAAAGCACACACACACGACGCACACATCTCCCTTGGCCAATTCGTGTGAGATCACTACTTCCACCACGCACGCTCAGTAGCGTGGTGAAAGGTAGTCGCAGCAGCAGCGGTATACTGATGGACTGACGCGGAATCGCCTTGCACTGGAGCCTCCAGTCGCATCGGCAATGAGTGGTGTCATGAACCAAGATTTGGCACCACC